TTGCTTTCTTTTATTGTTTGTATTTGTATTTAACTCAAGCTTGTTTCTTACTTCTGTTTGCCTGAGAGTGTATTTTTATTATTTTTCCCTGTTTTCTATTAAATATAAATAAGATATCATGCTCACTGACAAACTGTAATTAGTCAAGCCCACAAGAGGCTTTGTCTGCCCAGCATCATTAAAAGAGCAGATTTCCAAGTGGATGTAAGAACCCTGTAATTATTTAGCTTTGAGATGCACAGCGCTATCACTTTCCATCAACAGGAGATTTCCCTCAAAGACCAATGACTAGGTGTTCTCATCAGATGTTTTAAACATAAGCACAAAAATAAAATAAAAAATGGTCTTTATTGCAAAACCTGTAATTGAATCGAAACTGCGACTGGTAAATCATCACGATTATGACTCATTAGCTGCTATTCTTCTAGGCAGAGAGTCAGTGAGACTCTAACCGAGCCGTGACAGGAGTTTGTGCTTACTCTGGCTGTTTTGAGTCTACAAGTTTAATAATCTGAGCTATCTGAGGAACACAATTGCTTTACTTGTGTGATTTGTTTAGTATTTCTTGAAAAAAAAAGGCATTTTAAATACAGTGAATTGATAAACAACAACAACACTCAGCATTGAAAAAAAAAAAAAATAGAATTCAGTGTAAAACATTTCTGCTGGGATTTTTGAAGATGCAAAATATTTCCAAGATTGAAAACATTCCCAAAAACAGCTCACTCTGTCACACACCGGATGTCCATCTGTTGTACTGATGGCCATCTCTTAATCTCTATGCTCACCCAACCGTAAAAGTCTGTTCATTCCAATATTTCTACATCCTCAGAATCATTTCAAATGAGATGTAGTTTCTCTCTTCTCAAACATCATGGCTGCATATCTTATAGTGCTGTGTGAAAGATTTTAGGAGAATTATAATAAAATATAATTCAACTTCTCTCCGAGCTGTGGCAATCAATAACCCTTATTTGCAAGGTAGCCATAATGAATTTCTAAGTCAGGGTTTCTAAGCATAATTTTAGTTTCACACAGGTAATTCTAACTTTACTAGCTGTAAAGTGCCTCTAGATGAAAGTAGCAAATTTCCCCTAGCGATAAAAACAAAACAAATGCACCCTGTAGCAAGTAATGTTATGATTAATTTCAGCTAAACTTTGATTCATGTAATTCTGTGCTTTTTAGGCAATCGGTTTAATTTCAATTTTGTGTCATTCTAGTTGTTTTCTGGTTGTATTTGAGTTCTTAAGTATTTCTTGTTTACTCTCCATTTTGCCCCCTAGCTCCCTTCTAGATCCTTCTGTCCACAGCTGCTTCCAATTAGTTGATTGCTCCATATTTTGTTCCACCCTAACCCCTAAATCCCTCAATCAATATATAGGGCGGGGATTATATAGTGGACTTTAAAGTAGTCATATGATTACTACTTTTCACTCCCCGTTGGTCATGTGACTCCACCTCCCCCACGCAGCCTGCACCATCTTTGTTATTGCCCATAGTGCTTTGCAAGGAGAGCTCTCAAAGGAGAAGCGGATATATCTTCTTGTCTAGTGACCATGGATGATCACTACTTTTCACAGTGCATTGTGGGAAATTTCGAGTCCACTTCTTTTTCATCCAGCGGACATTTGTTCACTCATCTAAAAAGGCGTAATCACTGTATAGCGCCCTATATAGTGATTAGGGTGGACATTCGGACACAGCCTCCTCCTCTGCAGCTGCTGGATCCTCTTCATTCGCTCCCTAACCTATGTGTACCCCTTTGTTCTGCCAGTGTTCTTTAATTATTTATTTGTGTATGTTTCTGTTGCCACTAAACCTTATTAAATCTGCAAGAAACCACCTCAGCGTCCGTCTCTGCTTTTGGGTCCTATACAAACCTCCAAACAACCTGACAAGTAATGCTGTAGATAAGTGAGGATCTGTGTCTATGAAGCAAATAGATTTAAAATCAGTTAGATCATCTTTTTAAAGATTTTTCAAATAAGATTTTTCTCACACAGGACTAGAGTCTTTAGATTCTAGATAACTAAAAGACAACCCACTTTGTTCAGGGTATCTTGTTTTTTTATTGTAGGTTAGTATAAATTAAAGTTTCTATAAATGTTTGGATCTGGATTTTCACAATCAGGGTTCGATTGTAACCAGCACCCTTGCAGCTCCTCTCCCTAAGGATCAAAGACCCTACGTGTTACATTAATTGAAGGGCTATGATATGAGAGTGTGTTAAAACTGCAGTGTAAAGATAGATAAATAATTTCTCATCCTGCTTGTGTCTTGTTTACTCTACAAAGCAGGTTGATTGGGTCAGGCTGAGAGTACTTCATTATCTCCATATTCAACAGAGCCCTTCGCTTTTCCTCATACAGGTCAGGCGTGTCACATCGGTAGTCTCTCTACAAACTTCTTTTTCTTTCAATAATCCTACCTCTGGATTTGATTGAGTTAGTTTAATTGTAAAACTTTTTTATTTTTTAGTTTTAATGCTGATCATATTTTGCCCCAGATTCAAAATAATCTGGTGCTATAAAGTTATTGCTAACCAAAACCAACTGAGTCCCCAACAGAAAATACAACACAAACCAACTTTGTGAAGTTGAAAACCAACTTTAAAAACTATTGAATATATTTTTTAAGGTAATGTTTAGTTTTAATCAAGTAAAGCAAAAGTGCTAATTATTGTTTTTAAAATGTTATTTAAATCAATTTAATTAGATTGTAAAGAGTAAACTATTGCTTTACTACATTAATGTTTTACAACTAGACTAGTTGTTTTTAGGTTTCAAATTTTAACATGGTTCTATTTGTATGGAACTTATGAACTGGAATTGGTAAAAGCAATGGAGATGCAAGGAGCAAACCACGGAGCATGAGGCAGAACAACGGGAGATTCAGGCTAAGAATCAATGACAAACAAACAGTATGAATACTGGGAGAGAGTAAATAGAAAGGCAGGACAAGTGAGTGAGAATGAGTAACAGCTGCAGAGAATTGAAGCAGGGAGCAAAAGGAAAGAAACAAAAAATAAAAGTAATCCAAGCATAAAGAAACAAAGAAAACAATCTAATATAATAATCCAAATGAAATCAAGCATGAGAATAAACAAAATAAGCACAAAATAGATCAACTTAAAACACAACACTATGGGCATATGAACATCAAAGAACGAAGCAGACATCTACAGTAATCCCTAAATTCAAACACCTGAGGATAGTGTCCTGCTTATATGCCTGAGAGCTAAAAAAAACAAAACAAAATAAAACAATTGAAGCTGGTGGTATACCAACCAACCAACCAACCAACTCCTCCTTCCTTTTATAACTGAGGATGTGGCCGTATGGAGATTGAGCCACCAATTTCAGACCCGTTTTAACCAGGAGGATGTAAAGAGCTATTGTCTTTTAGCCTCCTCTGATGAACCCCACATAAAGCCCAACTGTCTAAGTCGGCTTTTCCTGACATATTAAAATGTAAAACAAAAGCCATGGTCAACTGGGAGCTCCCAAAACATCAGTAGGATCTTACTGTTCAAAAGAATCAATCAGAAAAGCAGTCTGAATAAATTTCAAGGTATTAGATTTATAGGTACTACGGAACATGGGTGGATAATCCACATAACTAGAGAAAATGCAGCACAGGAAAAAAAAGTGGAGTTTCCATCCAGAAACGATATAAAAGTGATGAAAATTGGTCATGCTGTCAACAGACCAACATCAACATTAAACCAGCCACAGGAACTTCTAGAGAAATTCTCACAGAATATATCCAATGTCTATTTTCTGGATAACTGTCATATGAAAACGTAGATTAAAATATTTCAAGTCTATCAAATGAAAGTGGGATGATTTAAATCTGATGAAAATAAGAACTTTTTGGGAATAACTAAAAAAAAAACTACAGCACATCACCATAAGAACTCTATAGCCGTGTTATAGCACGGTGGTGGCAGCATCATGAGGCCTTAGTCACGGAAGAGGAGCTTTATGAGCAGTTTAAAATAACAGAAATGGCAAAAAATCTTCATGCTTCAGCAACAAAACTTCAGGTGATTATGAGCTTTATTTTTCCAAGACCAGAATCACTCAAACATAAACATCTAAATCAACAAAATACTGATCTTCTGTCTCGGGTTTCCTGGATTCAGACTCACTGCTGATTTTCTAAACTGGCTTATATCTCAATTGGCAGACCAGGAATACCTCTTTTGGTCATCTTGAATATGAGCCAGAATCACGTGAAGTTCCCCAAACAGATTATGGAGAACTAAAACATCTCTTGAATATATACCTATGCTAATGTATACCTGTTTGTAACAATCTGACTAGTCCAACTTAGCTTAAAAGAAACTGCCAGCTGCTTCAAAGCCCTGACTTAAAACGTCACTGGCTATCACTCCATTCCAGTAAAAGGTAGGTTTATTGGTTACATTTACATCTTTTCAAAAGTATCACTTTATATTTTTCAAATAAGCTCTTTCATGGCTTCTTGGTTACTAAATTTTCTTGTAAAGAACATTGGATTATCTTATTTTGGTAATGCTTTCCAAATACATTTAACTTACCTTTGAATCTGAAAGATTTGTATTGTTTTTGGAAAGAGGAGTTGAAAAATATTCTGCTTCCAGTATAGATGAGGCTTATGATGCCCCAGCAGGATAGACTGAGTGATGTAATAAAATCAAACGTGATATATTGCATTTAGGTTGTTTTTTCCTACACTTTCCTACCTAAGATATACTGATCAATAAAGGTGGACAAAGACTAATTTATCTTGGGCTAATTTCTTTTTTCATCCCATTAAACCTGCACAGGAAGAAGCCTAATAACAGCCAACCTTGATTGAGCTGCTTCCGTTAATGTAAATTGAGCTCCAGACAATATTTCTCATTTAGTTCTTCTCAATTTTTGATTGATCAAAAAAAGCGATGCTTTTCTATCGGCCCATGATAAGACATTAATTAGGTCTGTTTACTGCCAAATAACACAATAGTACAGCAATCACTCTGTCAAATTGAGTTGAGTCTCTTTTTATTTCAGGGTTTGTAAAATATCATTTAATGCTGTTTTCATGATTGATTTAGATATGTAATAAATTAAAAGAGGTTTAGAGAATCAGGTTGATATGTCCTCCTTGTGAGATTTATTACCACAAAGTCATTGTGTTAACTTTTTGCACTGAAAAATCTCCGAATATTACTACATTCTAAACATTTTGAAATAAGAAATGAAAAAAGTGCATTAAATAAATAAAACATTCAGCCATTGTTTTTTTTGCATTTAATCTGACTTTGTATTTGAACTCTAGAAGCAGGTGAAAATTATGACCTCCTGTTTTTGCTGAATTAACTGCCAGTACCGTGCCCAACATTATAATCCATGCATTTTTTATTAACCCTAAATTAAGTTTCAATACATAAATACATACATTGTGTACAGAAATAGTCATTATTCAGACAAACACATTGTCTCAGTGAAGTCCATCAATGCTGCACAGGTGTAGATGACATGTACAGCTGAGATCTACCGCAGTTCATGTGGAGCTGGAGAAGGAGAGGAGGGGAAGGATGGAGGGGCATAGCCGGCCAGTTTAGGCTCCATTAACACGAGGTGAAGGTTTTCCAGAAGAAGTTTTTACAGGGGGCTTTGCGGTCACGTTGCGGCAGTGATAACCTGTTGTAGACGGCCCTCTCCTCCAGGCGGGACTCCAACGGCTCCTCGAAGTCCTCAGGAGCTGATTCGCCTGGCAGCATGTTGGTGTCTAGAGCTCCATCTAACAAACCAGACACCAGCTTCAGGATCAGCTCTTTACGCTCTTTACTCAACTCCTGGAGTGCACAATAAAGGCAATACAAAGTAATCAGATACATTAATATTTACATTGTTCCTATTTTTATGTTTAACTGTTAAGAACCAACATTTTATTCAATTTTATTTCCATAAAACAGCTCTTTAATCTTTTTATAGCATTTCTTTAATTAGAAACATCATAAACAGAGAGATTAAGTATGACAAAAAGATATTTTCCATGTGTTTAGGACAGAAATCCTCACCTTGTTTGCATGGATGGGGCTCCTGTCCTCCAGAGGAAGCATGGCAGCTGCTCTTACGCTGAACAGAACCCCCATAAGCGCTGCTAACACCACCAGGAGCTGCATGTTGAGGCAGAAGTGGAGGACAAGTGCAACAGGAGCAGGAGAAGTGTGTTATGGTGTGTGTGTGTGAGAGAGAGGTTGAGCAGCTCTGGTGGCTTGAAGTTCTTGGAGCAGAGCGGTGGTGAAGAAAGTGCGCTGCAGTTGGTGGCAGCTGCTCATCAGCTCTGAAAACCTCAGATGTTTCTTCTGCTCTACCTCCAAAGTCCCCCACTCTTTTATACATCTCCCCCCCTCCACCCCTGTCTGCAACTGACGTAGAGGCTGGTGCGTGTATGACGGAGGGTGTGTGTGGATGCTGTTGGGGGTGTCAGTATGTGAGCATGAAAAAGAGGAGGGGAGATGAAGAGGTCAGGATGCAACAAATGGAAACGTTTGGAAGTTCACCTTTTGGCGAAAGTGTGGCGTTTGCTGTAATGTGAGCATCTGCAGAGAGCAGTCGACGTCACTAGGTGGAAACCAGCTTTTACTAGTTACTGATCATCTGAGATGTTAAAAAGGAGAGTATGGGGATGGAAAAAAACTGGTTTGTTTGGTTTTTTTCATCTAGCTTTTGTGTTTTAGATTAAACAAACGTTAACATTGCACAAGGATAGTCTATGCAAATACAAAAAGCCGTTTTCAAATAATGCTTTTAAACGGGCCATATTAATTACAGCAAGCCGTCCAGGTCCTGAAGCAGCAAAGCTTAAGGGAAATGTTAGCCAGGCCTTCTCGTTTTTTGCTCAGCAGAGGTTTTCACTGTGGATGAAATTTTTATCTAGTTCTTTGTTTTTGTAAAATTCTTCAGCCACTAATCTTTGAATGTTTGTTAGACTTTTTTTTTCTTGTAAAACAAGGAGATAGCAGCTAGTGATAATTTCCTAACCTGCCGTATGAAAATGCCATATTAAAATGAACTTGTTGGAAATTTGCAGAGTGGTGTCTACCAACTGATACCTTATATTTTACTGACTTTAGTCATTTAAAACAGCTCAAACTAAAACACATATCAATGGGATACAATGCTATAGTAAAATTGTTTATGTGCCGAGCAGATATAAGAGCAGATATAGATTTTTTATTTCCCTATGATTTCCCTTAAAATCAGTGTTAATGCTCTAGTGCTTATTTACCTGTGCTTTATTTTTCAAATAATCATTTTAAATTTGCTCACCATTTTCTCTTTAACAGTTTCCCTCCTTAAGCTGATTAGAATAAATAAATGACTATGACCTGTATTAGCCTTCCCTGGAGATTGACATTTACTTAAGGCAACGTTTGATTTCAGTCATTCTCCCTTCATGTGTCGGTTTGACACCTTTAAATGACAATTGACCGTCTGACACTCCAAAAGCCTGGGACCTAAATGCAGTGCACCTCAAATAAAGTGAGTCTTGATGCTTTACAGAACCAGTTCTTCATTTGTAACAGATTGTGAAAATATTCTATATGTAGTTGGTTTATATAAAGAATAAATGTTAATTTGGATCAATAATATTTAAAAACACAATTGAACAATATAATCTATTAACCAAAAATCAATAAAGATTTATGTTTTTTAATCTTGTTTTTACTAAAGGTTGTGAAGAAAATTAGCTGTACATAAATGGAAAAAAATTAAAAATAAAGTCCCTCCATCTGCATTCAATTTTCCTTCAATCTTTGAAAATGTTCTGTTTGTAAATTAAAAAATGCAAACACAGTTTTCATAAATCTTAAAATATTGTTTTGGTGAAGTTTAACCTATTTTCATATGCTTTCATATACCTACCATGACTTAGTGTGTGCGGTTTTCTCTCAGTTCTTTTCCACAGCAGTAGTGTAGAATATCTTTAAAGATGTTGAGATCAAATTGTATCAAATTCTTATATTTACTAAAAAAATCATATCTTTTAAGATACAATTTCCAGGTTTTAGCCTAATAGCTATACAGAAGTTACAAAGTTGCTTTAGTAAAGTCTGTGGTTTTGCTTGAAAGAAACAAAAAAAAAGCTTGTTTGGGTGGTTTATTAGATTTTATGTCGACTACTGCTGTTTTTAATCATCATTATGTGAATGAGTAAGAGGCTAAATAAAGAAACCCTACCGGAGAAAACCCAAGAAGTACACCATAATGCCAAGAGTCATCGCTCACCTGCCTCGACTCACATATGAGCTTCCGTGACACTCCATTCCTAATCCATAGGGGTTCAAGATGACGTCATTTAACCCTTTGTTGCTAGAAAAGATCAAACTTTCCTGGGAAGGCTGTCAGGGCTTTAGGAGTTTATGGGAATGTGTGACCATTCTTCCAGTAGTGCATTTGTGAGGTTGCACACTGATGTTGGACAAGTCCTGTCTAGACTGGACTAGTCCTCAGTCTCAACTCTTATTCATCTCAAATTAGTTCTGTTAGGTTTAGGTCAGGACTCTGTGCAGTCAATTTCTCCCACACCAGACTCTGCCATCCATATCTTATAGATCTTTCTGCACTGGGAAAAGGAAGGGGCCAGTTCCAAACTGTTTCTACAAAGTTGGGAGCATGGAATTGTTCAAAATGTCTTGGTATGCTGAAGCATTCAATGTTCCTATCACTGGAACTAAGGGCGAAGCCAAGCTCTTAAAAAAAACAGCAACCCCATATCCTAATCCCCCTAAACCAAACTTTACAGTTGCCACATTCCAGTCAAACAAGCACCGTTCTAAACCCAGATTTATCCATTAGATTTCCATTTTGTCCATTAGCAGATTAGAGGATAACAGGTGGAAAGAGCAGCAAGCTTTGACACAGACCCCAAAACACACCTGGGCTCAATCCGAACCCCTCAAAAGGGCTCTATGCACAGCTTCGCTACATCCTGAACTTAATGCTACGTTCAGACCGGACGCTGCAAAAGCAGCAAAATCGCGTCTGCTGCTTCATTTTTGCTGCTTGTACCAGTTAGTTCTGACGCGCGGCTGAAGCAGCTTTGCTGCTCTGGCTGCGCGGTGCAAAAGTGTGTCTGACGCGCGTTGGGCGGAGCTTCACTATCCTTTCTCTGCCTTGCAGCTATATTTGCTGTGATCAGTGGGAATAAAGTAGTTTTAATATGTTTTTAAGTGAGAAAATACACCTGAAAACTTCATCACTGCAGTCAGTTCATCCAGATTACAATCCTGCCTCCCAATGTTATTTCTGTCGGAGCTGCTCAGACCCCCACATACCGGCGGTGCGCCGACAGAAGGAATCCATTCATCAGCAGCCTCTGGCCGGGTCGCCTCCTCGTGGTTTACCGCGGCGGCTGGTAGGTGTTTTTCATCTAAATAATCCGATCTGCAGGCACCAGAATAATAAAAGCGAACATATTCTGCCGGCAGATGTATATATTTTAAGTTAATTATGCGTTAATAAACTGTTTAAGAGAAGTGATCAGAGCGGTCTGTGTCATCAGCGCTGTGTCTCTCTCCCAGCCAGCTCCCAGATCAGCTTCTCTGATTGGTTGACGCGGCGCGTCGAGCAGCAAAAATTCAATTTTTCCATCTCGAGCAGCAGCGCGTTTGCGGCGCGTCACGAGCGTCAGATGCTTAAACGCGCCCGACGCGCTGCTTCAGCTGCTCAGACGCGCTGCGCCTGCTGCTCAAAACACCCCGCGGGACCTTTTGGTGCGCCTTGACGCGCGTCAACCATTGACTTTGCATGTAAACTCGCTGCTTCTGTCGCGCCAGCTGCGCCCGGTGTGAACGCAGCATAAGGCAGCTCATTTGTTTCCTGCAACTGCATCAGTCACTTCCTCACTACTGTATGAAGTGATTGATCTAGTTGTGTATGCCCATTTTTATCATGGTCATTGAGGTCAGACACACCTGGATCAATCTGTTCATTCAGTAGAGGAAGACAGGAGACAATTAGCCTTTTTTGCCACTGAAAATTCTGGGTTAACCCTGTTTTTTTCAAACTTGGGTCGACTCGCTTGCGGTCCATATTTGCCCCCGTCCCATTGTCAAAAAAAGCTAGGTCTCTCCCTCTGCAGGCAAGCTGCATGGCCTCTGTCCCCCCTCCGCTGCTTGTCTGTTGGCACCATCATGTTGGGTTAGCACTGATTATGTCACCAGTGTCAGGAAAGTAAACAATGGAGAGCACAATGTAGGGAAGCCAGGGCATACAGTAGTAACTGTGCTTTATTGTCTCACTCTTTTACCTTTCAGAATCCCTTTCACCAGTGCTGTGCTATGTTTATCAAATGTAAACAGAGTTGTTTCGGCTTGTTAGATTAGATGCGACTAGCGGTTTGTGTTGACGTCCATAAGTTGCGCTCAATGGTAACATGTTAATAAGATCGTCAACCCAGGGCTGATGTTCCCACTGCATGACGATCAGAGCCGAGGTGATTTTAACACGGGTAGCTTGCGGAGTCTTTTGACCCGGGTAGACATGGGCCAGTGAGCAGTTCCCACTGCCATTAAAAGGTGATTATTCCTGGGTTTAGACAGGGTTTTCAGCCAGTGGATAGGGGGGAAAGTAGTGGTCTTATGTTCAGGAAGTAGTGGAGTTGTTCACAGATCCAAATCTAACTCCTATAACCTTTTGCAGGATCAACAGTAAGAACACTATTAAGGGTAGGAAAGGAGTGCTGTGCTGAATCTGGACAGCCTTACGGATGTCATTACATGGCAGACGTGAACATGAATGACACTGATCAAATTGGGACTACAGCCTTCTGAAAAATAACTTCATGAAAGGAGTTAAACAAATAGGGCAACTGGTGAAGCTCTCCATTATAAAACTCAATACATATGAAGATGAAAACATCTGTTACAATTTGCTAAACTTTGGGAGGTCTGCTGTGCCTCTAGGTCCTGTCATGCAAAGGATTGTGGGCAATCCTATTGCTCCTAATGACAGCTTGGGAGGCCAGAAGGTCTCTATGCTAACTGCATTGGTACTAGGAGGCATATTGCTTCCTGATCCTAGTTCTTCCCTAACTGCCAGCCCTATTTGGATTATTATAGGGACTTTAGAGGCACGACAAAGTGACCCTGTGGGTTTGAAATATTCGTATCGAGCCTTGATCTGATTTAGCATCCCGATAAAAAAAAAGACAAAAAAGAAATCAGGTCATATGATGTCAGCAGCACTGTTATGTAGTAAGATATTGAATGAGTAGAAATGCAAAAAATTAAGCTGATAAAAAGTAATATACATATAGATTGTGGCTTATTTAATTGACAATAAACAAGGCTAGAATGGACTGAATAGGGAATGTAAAGAA